ACAATGCAAGAGCTACCCAGCTTTTATTGCTTTGCAAAAAAATTCATCAGCACAGAAACTCCAAAGAACAATACAATTTTATTTATTTTTTATTTTTTTGTCATAGTACCCCCAAGAATTTAAAACTACTTTCACCCATGGATATGATCCGTATTATCTCTCTAAAAGTTACTTCACTTATAAACTTGATGATTTACCTGCATCAAGGCGATCCACATAACTAACTACCTGGAGCTGCAGACCTCATGTTATACGACGAGCCAGAAGAAAGCTTTCATCTGGCTCAGGTTGGCTCAGGTTAGTTTCAGGTTGGGTCAAGCATTTAGGATCAAAAGAAGCATTAAATTGCTGTCGCCTTGTTTCTGCCGGGTGAGTAGTATTTTAAGTAATTAGTCCATGATAGCGATGCTATCGCTAACAACGAACTAACCCATGTTATTTCTATGTTCTTGGATCTCCTGGTAAATAATTTATTTAGCTTCTGAAAACCCAAATTTATGCTGGAGTTGTACGTTAATGTTGAGTCGCTGTAGGACGCTCGATTCAGGTCCAATGTAGGTCAACGATTCGCTCCGATCTACAGAAACTCCATGTGGGGGTATAGTAACAGCTCACTGTGACTGTGTGGCTGGGTAGGTTATATTAAATTTATTTTTCTTTTTTTCTTTAGCATGAAAGTCCCACTGAATAAAGATTATATTTTCTGTCTGTGACTCGGCACTGAGCTAGCTGCTAACAACATTAGCACTCTGCTGGGGACAACCATGCCAGGGCATAAAAATAATATCTTACCTTATGTATGAATGCTTTTCTTTCTAAGTAACTGTCCAACAAAATATCAGAAAGTACAATTTAAACGATGCGATCGTTACCTGTTAGAAAGTGGGGCTGCAAACTCTGGCATTGTTAGTTTCTGCACCTCTTGTTTTTAGCTGTAGATTATTGATCCACTTTTCTCCTCTTTTTTGTTAAATTTTTTAAGATTAACACCCTTATGACCAACTACCTTCGAAAAACACAAAAATAATGTTTATCTTTCTTTATTAGAACATTTGGAACAACCGTACAGAACACAGACTTTAGGCATTTTGATGCTGGATCAACAGAAATAAATGGGCTGCATTTACCTCTGGGCCTCCATGTGCATTGGGTGAAGTCAGTGCTACGTCATCTGAAACCCACTAATACACTATATTGAAGAAATTATTTGCTCCCTTGCCCTCACTCTTATATGAGCTTACATGACATCCCATTCCTAATCCATAGGGTTCAATATGACGTTTGTCCACTCTTTGCAGCTAGAATAGCTTCAACTCTTCTCATTAAAACTTCAGAACTCATTTCCACCAGCTTTGTGTTTCAGTCCGCCACAGAAACATGACAAAATCACTCTTAAATTACATTATTTTCTATTTTTGTTTCATAGAATCGCTCATCACAAGCCAACAAATACTAAAGTCTAACATGAAGAAGAAATTCCAGCATGTGTTTGAAGGAATCACTAAATCAGGAAATCAAACCTTTCTAAATCAGATCTACACAGAGCTCTACATCACAGAGGGAGGATCTGGAGAGGTCAATAATGAACATGAGGTCAGACAGATTGAATCACTGTCCTGGAAACCAGACAGACCAGAAACAACAATTAGACATGGAGACATATTTAAATCTTCACCTGGAAGAGATGAACCAATCAGAACGGTGATGACTAAGGGAGTGGCTGGCATTGGGAAAACAGTCCTGACTCAGAAGTTCACTCTGGACTGGGCAGAAGACCAAACCAACCAGGACATCCAGTTCATGTTTCCATTCACGTTCAGAGAACTGAATCTGTTAAAAGAACAGTTCAGCTTAGTGGAGCTTGTTCACCACTTTTTTAGTGAAACTAAAGGAATCTCCAGGTTTGAAGAGTTAAAGGTTGTGTTCATCTTTGATGGCTTGGATGAGAGTCGACTTCCACTGGACTTCCACAACAATGAGATCCTGACAGATGTAACAAAGTCCACCTCAGTGGATGTTCTTCTGACAAACCTCATCAGAGGGAACCTGCTTCCCAAAGCTCACCTCTGGATAACCACAAGACCTGCAGCAGCCAATCGGATCCCTGCTGAGTTTGTTGCCATGATGACAGAGATCAGAGGATTCACTGACCCACAGAAAGACGAGTACTTCACTAAAAGGTTTAGATATAAGAAGCAGGCCAGAATGGTAATCTCCCACATAAAGAAATCCAGAAGCCTCCACATCATGTGCCACATCCCAATCTTCTGCTGGATCACTGCTACAGTTGTGGAAGACATGTTGAAAAAGAAAGATGGAGAAGATCTGCCAAAGACCCTGACTGAGATGTACATCCACTTCCTGGTGGTTCAGACCAAACTGAAGGTCATCAAGTACGATGGAGGAGCTGAGACAGATTCACACTGGAGTCCAGAGAGCCAGAAGATGATTGAGTCTCTGGGAAAACTGGCTTATGAGCAGCTGATGAAAAGAAACCTGATCTTCTATGAATCAGACCTGGCAGAGTGTGGCATCGATATCAGAGCAGCTTCAGTGTGTTCAGGAGTTTTCACACAGATCTTCAGAGAAGAGAGAGGGCTGTACCAGAACAAGGTGTTCTGCTTCGTCCACCTGAGTGTTCAGGAGTTTCTGGCTGCTCTTCATGTTCACCTGACCTTCATCAAATCTGGAGTCAATCTGCTGGCAAGAGGTGAAACAAAATCCAAGGACTTCGAAACAAGAAGCCATGGATCCTCAGAAACAGAGATGTACCAGAGTGCTGTGGACATGGCCCTGGAGAGTCCAGATGGACACCTGGACTTGTTTCTCCGCTTTCTACTTGGTCTTTCACTGGAGACTAATAATCGTTGGCTAGGAGGCCTTATGACACACAGAGAGAAAAGCTTAGCAACTAATAAGGTCACAACCCAGTACGTTAAGGACAAGATTAATGACCAAAAATGTGTTGAGAAAAGCATCAATCTGTTCCATTGTCTAAGTGAACTAAATGATCAGTCCTTGGTGGAGGAAATCCAACAATCTCTAAGTACAGGAAGTCTTTCAGCCCACCAGCTGTCTCCTGCTCAGTGGTCAGCTCTGCAGTTCATCCTACTTTCAACGGACAAAGGTCTGGAAATATTTGACCTGAAGAAATATTCTGCTTCAGAAGATGCTCTTCAGAGACTGCTGCCAATTGCTGAAGCCATGAACAAAGTTATGTAAGTAAATATTTAGTAAGTTTCATAAAAATAGAAAAATAATAAGTGAAAAGTAATATATAGTATTACTTTGATCCTTTCAGACTGAGTGGGTGTAACCTCTCAGAGAGAAGCTGTGAAGCTCTGTCCTCGTTGCTCAGCTCAACAACATCTAGTCTCAGAGATCTGGACCTGAGTAACAACGACCTGACAGATTCAGGAGTGAAGCTGCTGTGCAGTGGACTGATGAGTCCAGACTGTGAACTGGAGATTCTCAGGTAAGATACGTTTACATTCTTCCGTTGTTTATGTAACCCGCAATTAGTCAAAACTTTTATTTTTGCAGTCTCACTTCCTGTTTTGCCCCAAACTTGCCAACTTATTTAAAGCCCCGCCTCCAGCGCAGTTTGAACTACATCACCTGTTCCACTGTGATTGTGGCTGGCTGTTTGACATCTTCCTGGCAAATTCATCAAAATCTTTGCATCCATTGATTTGATCTATTGAACTGGCGTTTGTTACCTAGGCCATCCCCAAGATTGTCACAGCTGATTGCAGTTTAGTATGCCCCACTCTCTTCAAGAAGGTCGGGGTCTTCTCCCCCCTCCCCCCCCCTCCTCCCGATGGATCAGATCCTCTTCTGGGGGATGGTGAGCTAGGAAGAAGGACAAGAACTTTATAATCTTGGAATTGATTTATTTTGAGTTAATTTGTCTCTAATTATGCATTTGTAATTGTCTGTTGTTTTTTTCCCAAATCACTAATATATGCACCAAAACTAAAACCATTGCTTCGTGTCTTCATTCACACCTCAGGCTCCTTAAAAGAACCATCTTCTGATGCTGCTCTTGGAGCCACAGTTAGCTGCAAAGCCCATAACTGTTACATTTACATATTTAGCAAACTTATGAACATCTCTAAAACATTGAAGTATCAAGTGGGAAATTTGTAGAGCAGTGTTTCTCAATGCAGGTCTTCCATATTTTAGATGCATCTCCGCTCCAGAACACCTGATTCAAATCCCTGTCAAATGCAGAAATATTATTTAGGAAAACCTGATTCCAGTGGCCGGCATTGCTGACTAAAAAACTAATTGCATTAACCCTAATGCTGAAGCACTAAATACTACTATGTTGATACCCTCAAAGAATGACACAATACGTGCTACAACACAGGATGTCACTCTCAACTGAGTCAAAATTTTCATTACACACTTTTGTGTATGGTTGCACTTCAGGAAGTGATTCTTTGGAGCGAACCTTTCACTTATGGTTACAGTTTTATAGCTGCTGAGTATTGCTAACTCTGTTGCTGGTTTTCACTAATTTACCATGGTATGGGGCACGCAGGACATAAGTCAATTTTAAACTGTTTATTAGTGATGGGTAGATGAGGCGTCATGTATCGTTTCGACCCATAGCAAAACTGTATTGATTCTGTCGATACTGTGTCACTGAATACTGACACCTGCTGGACATTAAAAATTCCTACAGGCAACGTCGTTGACAGACTGATTTGAAGACCCAGTCTATACAATAAGATTTAAGTCTTTGTATTTTATTGTATATTATATATTGTATTATGTCATATATTCAGTTACATTTAAAATATAGTTGATATTCTTAGATACAGTCAATAAATAATGTGAACATGTGCCATAAAGTGAAAATTTAAGTGAATGTGTTTGGAATGAGAATGCTTGTGGACTGTTTTTTTTTTTTTTTTTTTTTCCCCCCACAAATTTTCATTAAAAAAAAAGTTTTTCCAACATTTTGAAATTTAGTCTGTTATGCTTTTTGGATACAACTTCTCCTGCTGTAGGAAAAAATGAAGTAAAAATGAAGTAAACAATACATTTATATGAAATAATTTATAAAAAGCAACGGAGTAATATTTAGAATGGCTGCATATCTGAGTTTATCTAGGTGTATCTGGGACTTCATTCTCATGCCTGGCCTCATAATGCCTCAGGATTGAAAAGGTGGATTTATTTAAATAAGACAATTCTGTCAAACATATGCGACACTTAATCTGCAGAACATAATATGAAAGTAAACTAAGAGTCAATTTCAGCTGGATTTGGATTCAGATAGATCAAGTAGAAACTGGAAAGAACCGGATGAAACAACAAAAATGAAAACACATTTATTTTCCAAAATAAGATCAAAATGGTCCCACACTGCGGAAACCTTTCGTTTGCCTTGAGGCTGCTCCATAGTTGACGCTGTACCGCAAAAGATCAAGAATTCATTTAGAAAATGCTTTTGACAGATTCGCTTCCTTATAAACACAGTTTGGCGCGTTAATGTCATTTCGAAACAGTCCCTGTATCGGTCATCTGACTTGCTGAAACCAATACGCGCACCGACACGGGTTTTGGCCTATGGGCTTGATGCATGCGCTGACGCATCGGTGTTGCCGGACCCATCACTACCGTTTATTGTAGAACTAAATAGATGAATTTGAAGTACAGAATGGATATTTAGTGCACCACATCATAGGTGGAGGAAATGGAACTGCTGCTTATTTTGAAGTATTCACCCACTTCAAAATAAGAGTCTGAATAACATCAATGAATATTACATGATATAAATATCTAACTACTTGCAAACCTCAAAACATTCAATAACCAAAACCTCAACACACCTGTTGAGTTAGTCATCTGTAACTCAAAAAAAAAAAACAAAAAAAAAACAGCTAATTAATTTTTGCTTTAGAATTTATCCAGAAAATTAATTTAGGTAAAGCTACGCATGTGAGAGTTAGCAAAGTTAGCAAAAGCGCTAAACAAAAGATTTCGGTAACACTTTATTTGAAGGGGGGTGAATAAGACTGTCATGACACTGTCATAAACATGATATAAATCATTACTGTTTAAACTTTACCTTTAATAACATAAAGTTACCTAACTTTTAAAGTGCAATCAGTAATTCTTTTA